CTATGATTCGCAAGTGACTCAATAGCACATAACAAGAACTACAACAACAACATCATAATTTGGCCTGTTGGTCTAGTGTTGAGAAATTTTGTTTCCTTGACTTTGAGATGTGCTCCATATTGAAGGCTGTATTCTTTGATTGATCTTTTGCAGCAAGCACTTTAAGTCCTCCTCACTTGCAGCAAGCAAAGTTGTGTCATCTACATAACGCAGGTTGTTGATGAGTCCTCCAATCCTGATGCCACAGTCTTCTTCATGGAGTCCAATTTCTTGAATAATTTGCTCAGCGTACCGACTGAATAGGTGAGGGGAAGTAGACAATCCTGATGCACGTCTTTCTAAATTTTCAACCATTTGGTGTTCCCTGGTTTTATTCACACAACAGCCTCTTGTCTGAAAGTCACTGGTTCTGAAAACTATTGAAATGATCACATGGATCTCACAGAACCATATTCACAATGATGGGGTTTATTAGGGAAGCTTTTGTTGCTGTTAGGTTTTGTCGCGACAAGTAGGACTCATAAGATGGTCTCCGCAGAGTCGCCGTGGTCTCGTGCTTCAACAGTGCTTGAAAGGAGCCTGCGTCTCCCCTCGCCGGTCATCTCCAGCCAGTCCTCCGCCACCTCCTCACATCAGCACCCCCAGAGGCCCCAAGGTCCTCGCCTCCACTCCAGCGCTGCGCAGCTCCCACCTCTCCGCCGCCGCCAAGACCGCGTCCCCTTCGCAGGTGAGCCCGAACTACAACCAGGACTCGGAGGCCGCCTTCAACAGCCAGATCAACCTGGAGCTCTACGCCTCCCATGTCTACCTGTCCATGTCTTACTACTTCGACCGTGATGATGTGGCTTTGAAGAATTTTGCCAAATATTTTCTCCACCAGTCCCACAAAGAGCAGGAACACGCCGAGAAACTGATGAAACTGCAGAACCAGCGAGGCGGCCACATTTTCCTTCAGGACATCAAGAAACCAGACCGGGATGACTGGGAAAGCGGGCTGAACACAATGGAGTGTGCGCTACACTTGGAGAAAAGTGTGAATCGGTCCCTACTGGAACTGCACCAATTGGCCACTGACAAGAACGACCCTCATTTGTGTGACTTCATTGAGACACATTACCTGGATGAGCAGGTGAAATCCATCAAACAACTGGGTGACTACGTAACCAACTTGCACAAGATGGGCGTTCCAGATTCGAGCCTGGCTGAGTACCTCTTTGACAAGCATACCCTGAGAGACAGTGACTGCGAGAACTGAGCGAAGCTTTAGCCCGACTTCCCCACAGCCACAGGGGTGATGCCGTGGTCACTACCAGGCCACCTGCATGTCTTTTTTATTTTACCTTTTCTATAAGTTGTACCAAAATACCCACTTAAGTTCTTTCATTTGTGCCATTCCTTCAGATAGTCCTTTGGTACCGAGCTGTTGTGTTGGAGATCTTGGTGGGCCAGAAGTCTGTCTAAGCCATCTTGGCTAAATCCTTTAATCACCACGGTGTCTGCTTCAGTCACATTTAATAAAATGAAACTTACAAGGAAAAAAAAGTACGACTCATAGCGACCCTATAAACAGCAGATCTGAACCCTGACCTATCCTCACTATCTCTGACTTACTAGATGGATTGTGTCAAACCATCTCGTTGTGGGTCTAGGCTATTCTTCACTAACCCTCCATCCTTCCAAGCACAGTAATCTCTTTCCAAGGAATAGCCTTGCTACATGTCCATAGTGGAATAATTTCACCATCTTTGCCTCCAAGGACCATTTGGTTGCCCTTTTCCGAAGACATATCTGTTATTTTGGCAGTGCTCTTTTCTAGCACCACAATCCAAAGGCATTGATTCTTCTGTCATCCTTATTCATTATTCTACTCTCTAATGCTTAGTGGGCAATTGAGAAAACCATAGCTTAAATCAGGCACACCTTTGTATTCAAACTGGCATCACTGTTCTTCAGCACTTTGGAGCAGTCCCTGACGGGGGACTTGCCCAGTGCAATATGTCTCCTGATTTCCTGACTGTTGGTACCATGGGTGTTGATTGTTGTTAAGCCAAGGAAGAGGAAATCATTGACGGCTTCAATCCTTTCTGCATCTATTGTAATGTTGACTGTTGGTCGTGTGTTGAGGGTTTTTGTTTTCTTGATGTTGAGAGGTAATCCATACTGAAGCTATAGTCCTTGATCTTCTGCAGCAAGTGTTTCATATCCTTCTCACTTTTACCAAGCAAGATTGTGTCATGTGCATAACACAAGTTATTGATGAATCTTCTTCCAATCCTGATGCCACATTCTTCTTCATAGAATCTGGCTTCACAGATTATTTAGTCAGCATACAGATTGAACAGGTATGAAGAAAGGATACAACCCTGACATACGCCCTTCCTGATTTTAAACCATGCAGTGTTCCCTTGCTCCGTTCACACAACAGCTTCTTGGTCTAGGTGTAGATTTCATATTACCACAATTAAGTCTTCCAGGATTCCCATTCTTTTCAATGTTAGCCATAATTTGCTATGATCCACACAGTCAAATGCCTTTGTATAGTCAGTAAAACACAATTCAGGCTGGCTGCACAATAAAACTCTTCTGTCAGACAACTTCTCAAGTCTACTCACAGGCCCTTTGGCCTTCAGCCTCCCTTCTTTGGTTACTGTTATAAAGGCCCCTTCATCCTGCCAATGACGGTGTCTTCCCTCAGTCCTCCAGCAACCCTGGGTGAAGGCCCTCAGCTCTGGCTCCGTGGGCAGCAGTGCACATCAGCTCTGTCTCATGTTCGGTTCTGGTCCTTTGCTGAGGCTGCTACAACTCTCATGCTTATCCTGGTCTGATTCCTGAAGGAATCACTGCACTCTGCTTCCTCTTCCTTCCTGGGAATGAGACTCTCACCATGCTGTGAAATCTGCTCAGTTTCACTTGGTGGGATGGGACAATCTGACCAATCCCATAATGATTATTGTTGTGGTGGTGCCATCGAGTCAAATACGACCCATAGTGACCCTGAGAACAACAGATCTGAGCCCTGTCCCATCCTGTGCTGTCCTCATGAGCTCTGACACACTCAGGCCCGTTGCTGCAGTCACTGTGTCAATCCATCTCATTGGGGGTCTTTCTTGCTCCCTCCACCTTCCCAAGCATGACAATCATTCCAAGGTATAGCCTCTCCATGCAGCATTTCCAAAGTACGTGAGACGAAGCTTTGCATCTTTGCCTCCAAAGAGCATTCTGGCCATACTTCCTCTAAGACACATCTATTTATTCTTGTGGCATTCCATGGGATATTCAGTACTTTTCTCCAACACCTCCCATTCCTGTGGTAAAAGTCAAATTCAATGACGAGGCAAGCCATTTTGAACAATAAACTCTTGACACTGCGCTGAGTGTGTCTATTCCAATTTTGCATTCTGGAACTGGACAGGGCTGAGGATCCCCTGGACCCACTGTGAGACAGACCTGAGTTAAGGTCCCATTAGGAACCTGACTTCTGTACAGCCCTGCTCTGACTGGTAGACCCCAGCACAGTTTTGGGTCTCCTGGAATTAGTGTCAATTCACAACCAATGTCCAATAATCCTTGAAAGGTTTGATTATTTCCTTTTCATCAAGAAACTTACTCTTCAAAAAAAAAAACTTACTCTTCTTTTTTTTTTTAAAAAAAAGATCACTTCACAAATATGTGTGTCATCCTTGTGCAAGGACCATGCTAATCTTTTCTGTATCATTCCAATTTTAGTATATGTACTGCTGAAGCAAGCACGAAACACTTATTCTTGTATAAGCCTGTACAGATTCCTTTGAGGAAGAGTGGGAGAAAGATTTGCAGTATAGCTTCATGGCAATGTAGAAAGATCTTTCCTCAAGGGCTTGTGAGTTTATAAACCGGCTCCGGTCTGGGAACTGATTATATGGCTGCCGTTCTCTTTTCTGGTGATTGACGTTAGACTGTCATTCACCTGACCTGGAATTCCTCTATGCATACAAATGTAGCAAATATTGAATGTTGTTGTTGTTGTTATGTGCTGTCGAGTTGCCTGCGACTCATAGTGACCCTGTGTACAACAAGCCTAAAATCTGCTCTATCCTGTGCCAACCTTACTGTCTCCAACACACCCACCCCTATGACCCTAGTGACGAATCAACCCGTCTCATTGAGGGTCTTCCTCTCCTGCACTGT